ACTACCAGAGAGGTAGATGTCATGTCCTTAAGTTACTGAACTCACTAACCAAGTCAGGGGTTGATGCGGGACCAGGACAGCCTTTGGACTGCAGCCATTGCCTCTGCTTCAGCTCCTGTTCTTGCCCGGGTAGCTCCAGAACCTAGAGTGCCAACTCCACCGCTTTATGATGGGGATCCTAGTGCTTGTTGCCCGTTCCTGTCCCAGTGTGCCATCACGTTTACCCTGCAGCCCACCACCTTTGCTACCGAAGCAACAAAAGTCGCATTTGTTATTACGCTACTCACTTGGAAGGCTAGAGAGTGGGGAACTACAGTCTGGGAGAAGCAAGCACCTTACTGTGCCACATTTGAGCTGTTTCATCAGGAGTTGATCAAGGTGTTTGATCGCTCAGTCGCTGGCAAGGAGGCAGCCAGTCAGCTGGTGAGACTGAGGCAGGGCAAGTCGTCAGTCACTGACTTTTCCATTCAGTTCAGGACACTGGCTGTGCTTTGTGGTTGGAATGAAGCAGCTTTATGGGATGTTTTTAGAGAGGGGCTCAATCCTGAGATTCAGGACGAGATTGCAATCCATGACCTTCCGGCTTCATTTGAAGACCTGGTGGATCTGGCACTTCGTATCGAGACGCGTATCATTCTATGCCATCAACAGGTTATGGCTCACTCTTCTTGGCCAATCCCTCCTCGTTCTGTTTCTGAAGCCGCTATTATTCGCCCTGAGACATTTCTGGAAGTGGAGCCCATGCAGGTGGGGCGTACCCGTCTGGCAGCAGAGGAGAAGCAGCGATGCCTCAACCAATGACTTTGCTTCTACTGTGGAAAATCTGGGCATCTTGCTGCAGCATGTCCTTTAAATGCCAGAGCTCGCCAGTAGACGGGGGAGTATTGGTGAGCGTCACCCCTGTATCTGATTCCCCTGTATTTCGTCCCCAGCTGCCTGCCATTGTCAAGTGGGGACCTTTTTCAAGGTCATGCTCAGCCCTGGTGGATTCTGGGGCTGAGGGTAATTTCATTGATGCTACCCTGGTAGCTCGGTGGGGCATTCCTATCACCCCTCTCAAGAAGAAACTCATTGCCAGGGCTCTCAACGGCACTATCCTCACCCAAGTTACTCATGTCACTTCCCCTGTCAGTTTAACTGTTTCCGGCAACCATTGTGAGGAGATTGTGTTTTACCACCTCAAGTCTCCCAGCACACCTATTGTGCTGGGGAATCCATGGCTGGTGAGACACAGCCCTCACATTGGTTGGGCTGAGAATTCTGTGTTGGCATGGAGCTAATTTTGTCATAAATTTTGCCTGGGTGTTGCCTCGTCTGCCGGTTTTTCTTGTTCTATGTTTCAGGAGGAGCAGACTGCGGATCTGACCGGTGTTCCTGCTGAGTACATTGATCTTCAGAGGGTCTTTAGCAAATCTCAGGCGGCATCTCTCCCTCCTCACAGACCCTACGACTGTGCCATCGACCTTCTCCCAGGCACTTCTCTGCCTCGTGATCACCTTTACTCTCTCTCTGCGCCATAGAGAGAGACTATGGATAAGTATATCCAGGAGTCATTGGCAGCTGGCCTCATCCATTCCTCCTCTTCTCCTGCAGGCGCGGGGTTTTTCTTTGTGGAGAAGAAAGATGGTTCCTTGTGCCCCTGCATCGATTATCGTGGGCTGAATGACATCACTGTAAATAATCGGTACCCCCTTCCATTGATGTCCGCGGCTCCCGAGCTGCTACAGGGAGTGCGAATCTTCACAAAGTTGGACCTCCGCAATGCCTACCACTTGGTTTGGATAAGGGAAGGGGATGAGTGTTAGAAAGCTTTAACACCCCTACTGGGCACTTTGAATATCGGGTGATGCCCTTTGGGCTTACTAATGCCCCAGCTGTCTTCCAGGCCCTGATTAACGATGTGATTAGAGACATGATCAATCAATTTGTCTTTGTGTACCTTGATGACATTTCTATTTTTTTTTTCGTCATTGCAGGTACACACTCAGCATGTCCATCAGGTGCTGCAGAGGTTACTTGAGAACCAGCTGTATGTTAAGGCGGAGAAGTGCATATTCCACGCAGTTGGTTATCAGCCTCCTCTGTTTGCTTCACAGGAACCTGATGCCGTGGTCCCCTCTGCCCAGACCTTTGTCCAGAGGTGCAGATGCACATGGGAAAGAGCCAGGAAGGCGCTCAATCAGGCGGGGAGACATGCCAAGGTGGCAGCAGATCGTTGTCGGACTCCTGCACCCAAGTATGTCAGTGGAAAGCCATACCCTCTGCCCACAAAGGACCTGCCCCTTAAGGTGCCATCACGCAAGCTGGCACCCAGGTTCTTAGGGCCATACCGCATTACTAAAGTCTTAAGTCCGGCGGTGGTGTCTCTCGGACAGTGGCTTAGTTCCTGTTTTGTGTTTGAAACTCAATAAATCTCTGTTGTCCCTGTAACCGATTCCTCTTCCTTTACCACCCTGGGATGGATTACCTACAAAAACCTGTAATTTTCTCAAAATCCTAATTTCATCTCTCAAAAGTATGTATGTCAATAAACATATCAGTGCCATCAGAATGACAAGTCCTTGCATCATTCACTGAAAAAAAAGTACAATTTACTTAATTTTTGTTTTGCAAGTTTTTGCACACATATTTTTAAGTAAAATTTAAATATGGAATTAAGTAAAATCTATGTTTTGTAAAATGAGTTATTAGGAATTAAGTACATTTAATGTGGCCAGTTAGAGTTTGATGAATGATTTATATAATACGTTATTTTAAGTTTACTCTGCAATACTCAAGTACATTTAACTTATTCGTGGTTTGTAAACTTTACTCAAACAATGTAGCACTGAAAAAACAACAACCATGCTATTAAAGCATGCCATTTACTTACAAACATGTAAGCAAGTGGGCACCTTGTTATCCTTTTTTAAGATAATAAGTCTAATTAATTGTTATTACCCAAATGAACACCGAGACCTCAATTTTGGTACACAATACACAATGATGGTAACAATCAGTGGATAGTGTTTGAGTGTGAATTTTGAGTAGAAAATGAACTTCAGATGTCACAAAACAGCAAGTTACTAAACCTAAAAACAAAAGCAACCATAAAACACTGTAAATACAAATCAAAAACAGTGAAACATTTGACCTTATTAATTATTCATGCCCCAGTGCATGATGGGAACTACGGGATCATAACTTTGATATTTACTTAAAGAATCCTCATAAACATATCAAACAATTCCAAGTAAAATATATTTCTAAGTTCAAACTTTAATTTTTACAAGCTTAAATTGAGAACTCTTTATGTGTGTGAATATATGTATATACAGTATATATATATATATATAATAATAATAATAATAAACTTCTTTTTAATAATTCTTGCCTGAATTAAATTATTTCATGTAGAAATTACTTTAGAAACTTTACTTTACCACAAATGTAACAAGATACTCTGTCAGTATTTTCTAATGTAAGTTACTGTACAGTTAATGTATAATGTAAAATGACTATTGTATAAAATGTCTACTGTAATGACTACTGTATATAGCATTGTAAGAAAACAGTATTACAGTACAGTGCACATTGTTGAAATACATACCTGCTCTGTCTCGGAAACGTTTGAATGGTTGAGCAATCAAGAAAAACTGTAATTGGAAAGCATATATAGACAGAACAAATGTTACGATTTCTGACAATGCAAGAACAAGGAAACAAACAGGGTCAAAAAGAAGAGGAGTAAAGATGCATGGTGGAAGGCAAAACAGAGGAAGAGTCCAAGGACGTAAGGGTGTTTTTGAGAAAATGAGGGCCACTGTTGTGGAATACACAGACTACTTCACTGCCTAGAGAACACTAGTGAGATCAGTTCAAAACCTCCTTTTTATTCCGAATCAGCATTGCCAGGATTAATATTTAAGCTTTAAGAAAAGTTTACTTTTATTACACTACTGTAAAGAGATCTTCAGAAGACGAAAAGCACAAAAAAAGAAAAGTTCAAATACCAAATAACTGAATATAAACACACAATACAGTATACTGTCATTTACTGTACAGTAGAAAATAAATCAAATAATTCATCATATTCTGCCAAATTGCATTACAGTGTTGGTAATGACCTTATTTGTGATACTAGAGCAGATTCTTGGTTTTCTGACAAAAGACTTTCTCTACTTCCCAAAAATACAGTACATGTAAAAGTACTTGGCTACAAATCAATTCAACAGTTATGAGTTTGCGGGTCTACAACATGTGCTACAGTATTTACTGTTTTATGGTATTAACTGTTCATGAGATGCATCTCTGAACTATTTTAGAGAACCCCTTCATTAGTGAAATTCAAGATTTACCTGTGCAATTCATCAATTCAGGACACATTTACAAAAAGTATGTATGGAAAATATGCGTGACAGATTATGACAACTAGTTCAGCCATTTTGCATTTAATGACTTATGCAATGAACTATTGCCTAGATGTTTTGGGGGTAATTCAACAGAGAACCAGTAAAATATATTTTGAGCAACATATCATAAACAATTGATAATGTAGGAAACAGACAACTGTACATACTCAATTGCATAAATGTACCAAAGCATTGGAAATTTGTTCAGAAGAATGAGAAATTGTTTTTATGATTTGCACAGCTAGCTAGATGATGTGGAGGTTGAATTTTTTTTTTTTGAGAATTCCAATTGTGATCTGAGAAATGTACCAAAGCGACTGAATAAGGAAAGTCTTTTGTGAGTGATTACTGCTAACAATATAACAAAACATCTCAATTTCAACTTTTCTCAAGCACAATGATGGTGTTGTGGCTACTGTCCTCTGCTCTAGACTGAGACAGTTAGAGAGCTCCTCAAGGACTGTTGTGCAACAGAGACAGTGACTAATCACATATATAAATATTTATTCTTGTTGTTAATGCATTGTGTGATGATTCTGATACTGATGCATTCTGATACTATAATTAATTAATGTAATTTAACAGCATAAAAAGAATCAAAAGAAACAGACTGAACATCTTAAGCTCTCAATTTGCCCAAAAACAAATTTTCAATTCAACTTCAAACTCAGTTTATTCTCCCTTGATGTTGGTCATGCAAGAAAGTGGATGGGACTACACAGGCATTCATGGCCATCACAGTGAATTTGAGCCGCCTCAAGGAAACCATTTCACTGAGCTGCATCCCAGCACATACCGCTACGGAGACGTGGAGTCCTTCCATCCAGCCGTAGATTCCCCAGGGATGGGGACACTTTTACCTGTCGTTCCTCCACAGGTTAGTCAGCAAATCCGCAAAATCTATGAATAAATGTATATCTATGAATACAACTATAACTATCTATCTAGCTATCTATCTATCTATCTATCTATCTATCTATCTATCTATCTATCTATCTATCTATCTATCTATCTAATGTCTATGAACTGATTAACTGTGGATTTCAATAGAAGTACAAAATTCTGTAAAATATTCTATTCAGTAATATAAGAAATGTATTAAAGGTGGGGTCATTTCACTTTAGTTTTCAGTCTGCAGGACTAGTCTAACAGTGTACTGTAATCAGAGAAAAGGTCTGAAAGAAAGAAATGATAATGAAAAAGAAAGAGAGATGGGCAGGATGTGAGTGGAGGAGACAGACTGATTGCTCAACACTGTCTTTTCCTGACTAAAGGCTGTTGCTGCTGCTACACAATATACACACACTCTTACACAAGATATGTGAGCGAAAGACAATCACAGTCAAAGCAGCTCATCACCACATACACTGCTAGGAATAATTCAAAAGACTCTTCTGCTCATCAAGGCTGCTTTTATTTGATCAAAATACAGTAAACATATTTAAAATATCTGTTTTCTATTTTAATATATTATAAACTGTAATTTATTCCTGTGATGGCAAAACTTAATTTTCAGCATCTTTAGTGTCACGTGATCCTTCAGAAATCATTCTAATATGCTGATTTGCTGCTCAAGAACTGTTATTATTATTATTATTATTATTATTATCATTATTATGAGTGATAAAAACTATTGTTCTGTCTAATATTTTTGTGGAAACTGTGAAACTTTTTTCACATTCTTTGATGAATATAAAATTCAATGAACAGCATTTATTTGAAATATAAAGAACATCATCGTTATTATTATTATAATTAATTTTACTTAACCCAAATGTTTGAATAATAGTTTATCACAGTTTCCATAAATAAATAAATATATACAGCAGCACAACTGTTTTCAACATTGATAATAACAAAAGATGCTTCTTGAGCAGCAAAAGACTGGAGTAATGACGCTGAAAAGTCAACTTTGATCACAGGAATAAATTACATTTCAAAATATATTTAAAAATACACTCACACACACAAAATAAAGGGATTATAAAATTAGCCTTAATCCATACAATTTAGCTTCCGTTTTTCCTAAACCACTTAAGCATAAACCCCGCCCACATACATTCCTAAAGGTTTGATAGGTCATGTAAATGCTAACCTCTAACCCTAACCTAAAGCCTAATATTTTATCTATGCCAGGTGTGACAATTGTTGCACTGTGGCTCAATAGATAAAGGCTGTCTACACTGAAAATGTCAAAGAAGTTCTAAATCCATTCATACTGCTCTCGGAAATATTATCACAAGTTCATGCATTACAGAAGTAAAATCGAACTTCAGTTTACTGTCAGTGTCGAGTTGCATCCATTGTAGACAGTATCACTGATTATAATGGGTTCACTTTGATTTTCTCATGTTGGGTTTCACTGTATGTGATCCATCTACAATCTTTCGAATCCATGAAGTCAGATTTGATGTCAAAAATCATTGGTACTCTTTTGCCTGAGTAGGTCTATATCTGTGAGCTTTGCCATTCGTCTAAATGGCAGTTCCTCATGCAGAACATCAATCCAGTTCCTTCCACTTGATAATTGACTAAATCAGTGAAGGAGTCGAAGCTGGCCACAGGACTTGTCTGGTTCTCGTGATCTTGTGCCAATGGTCGTCTAGTTGACGAGGTCTTCGCAGGGGATCTGTCTCTGGGGCTCATCTAGTTGACATGGTATCTGCTGTCATTCAGGGCTGTAGAGGTCATCTCTAGGTCCTGATACACCATCTGGTCAGGATATGGACTGGATCTGGATGGCTATGGTGACCTCAGAATAAGAATGAAAAATATTAGCTTAGATGCCATTCTTCTTACGATGTAACAAGTACATCAGGTGGTATGGAAAGTGTTCCCGGTTCTGGTTGATCTAATTAATGCAGCCTAACAATCCTTTCAAGAATTGTAGAAATGTGATAGTGTATTATGTGTATGCCAAGTTAAAGAGACAGGTCTTTAATCTAGATTTAAACTGACAGAGTGGGTCTGTCTCCCGATCAACGCTAGGTAGATTGTTCCAGAGTTTGGGCCCTTAATAGGAAAAGGATCTGCCGCCCGCAGTTGATTTTGATATTGTAGGTATTATCAAATGGCCAGAGTTTTGAGATTGTGAATGACTATAGTGTGACAATAGCTTGCTCAATTATTGAGGAGCTAAACCATTTAGGGCTTTATAAGTAATTAGCAAGATTTAAAATGTATTCATTGTTCAATAGGGAGCCAGTGCAGTGTTGACAGAACCGGGCTAATATGTTCGTACTTCCTGGTTCTAGTAAGAACTCTAGCTGCTGCATTTTGGTTTGTTTATTACTGTATGTGATCCATCTACAATCTTTCGAATCCATGAAGTCAGATTTGATGTCAAAAATCATTGGTACTCTTTTGCCTGAGTCGGTCTATATCTGTGAGCTTTGCCATTCGTCTAAATGGCAGTTCCTCATGCAGAACATCAATCCAGTTCCTTCCACTTGATAATTGACTAAATCAGTGAAGGAGTCGAAGCTGGCCACAGGACTTGTCTGGTTCTCGTGATCTTGTGCCAATGGTCGTCTAGTTGACGAGGTCTTCGCAGGGGATCTGTCTCTGGGGCTCATCTAGTTGACATGGTATCTGCTGTCATTCAGGGCTGTAGAGGTCATCTCTAGGTCCTGATACACCATCTGGTCAGGATATGGACTGGATCTGGATGGCTATGGTGACCTCAGAATAAGAATGAAAAATATTAGCTTAGATGCCATTCTTCTTACGATGTAACAAGTACATCAGGTGGTATGGAAAGTGTTCCCGGTTCTGGTTGATCTAATTAATGCAGCCTAACAATCCTTTCAAGAATTGTAGAAATGTGATAGTGTATTATGTGTATGCCAAGTTAAAGAGACAGGTCTTTAATCTAGATTTAAACTGACAGAGTGGGTCTGTCTCCCGATCAACGCTAGGTAGATTGTTCCAGAGTTTGGGCCCTTAATAGGAAAAGGATCTGCCGCCCGCAGTTGATTTTGATATTGTAGGTATTATCAAATGGCCAGAGTTTTGAGATTGTGAATGACTATAGTGTGACAATAGCTTGCTCAATTATTGAGGAGCTAAACCATTTAGGGCTTTATAAGTAATTAGCAAGATTTAAAATGTATTCATTGTTCAATAGGGAGCCAGTGCAGTGTTGACAGAACCGGGCTAATATGTTCGTACTTCCTGGTTCTAGTAAGAACTCTAGCTGCTGCATTTTGGTTTGTTTATTAAGCGTGCAGAATAACCACCCAATAAAGCATTACAATAATCTAACATTGAAGTCATGAACGCATGAATTAACGTTTCTGCATTTGACATTAAGAGCATAGGTCGTATTTTAAAGATATTTTTAAGGTGGAAAAATGCAGTTTCAATGGATAGATTGCTATCAAAAAGCACACCTAGGTTCCTAACTGATGATGAAGAATTGACAGAGCAGCCATCAAGTGTTAGACAGTGTTTTAGGTTATTACATGCAGAGGCTTTTGGTCTGATAGTTAACACTTCTGTTTTTTTTTCAGAATTTAGCAGTAGGCAATTACTAGTCATCCAATTTTATGTGTAAAATATGCATTCCGTTAGTTTTGCGAATTGGTATATTTCGTCAAGCCGCAAAGAAATATATAGCTGAGTATCATTGGCATAACAGTGAAAGCTAACACCATGTTACCTGATGATTCCCCCAGGCGTAACATGTAGGGTCCAAAGGTCCTAGTACTGAGCCTTGTGGTACTCCATACTGTACTTGTGATCGATATACCTCTTCATTCACTGCTACGAATAGATGACGGTCAGTTAAGCACAACATGGAATTCCACTAATGCCAACATAATTTTCTAGTCTATTCAAAAATAATGTTGTGGTCGATAGTGTCAAATGCAGCGCTAAGATCCAGTAGCAGTAATAAAGAGAGAGAGAGACCAGCACCAGTACTATGTGGCAGTAATAATTAAATTTGCATTTTTGCTCACTTAGTTCCGGAAATATGTTTTGAACCAATCACCCGAGCTATTACGCCATGTGACTAATTGGCCATAGTAAAATGGCGTCCTGACTTTGGTTGGCTGTTTGCACCACTAGAATGCACAGAGAAAGCACACAAGCTGATGTTGTTGGGACAAACTTGACCATGCTAAATAGCCAAATCTTGACCCATTGACCCAGTGCATCTTGGTACGGCATTTTTGAATATAGGCAAGTGTGAATGAGATTTGAAAGCTACCGGAGAGCAGAGTTTTAACAGCCGAGCAACTGCCACCGAGATTAATAGGAATACTAACATATAACATTGCACCAGGTATTGCATGCATTTATCTCTTTAAATACGTTTAAAATAAGTTAATAAATAAAATAACTTAATATAAACTTTCATTTTAGATACACTCCTCCAAATATAATTAAATAATAAACAGGCCATATAAAAAGATTACTAATGCACTAAATGTGTTTGTGTGGTGGGATTCTGCTGATAGAAATGAAACTTTGTGGTTCTCTGGGACGATTTGGAAGCAAAACGTGATGCGCACTTGATTTGTAAATCTGGGACCATGCCATTGTGTGTCCCTTTCTGTTGACAGTTGAGTTTTTTGTACTTCCTCTTTCAATGTAAAGTAATTCTGTTGTTTCCAAGTATTTGATACTTATACAAAATCATGCAAAACCAGCATTTCTTTTGCTTGAAAATAAATGTGGGGGAATGTCTGACTGATACACTAATCACAAAACATCGCCTGATCATTTGCATTTGTTTGATATTTTGCTTTATATTTTGCATAATCCAATATCCAATGAAATTACAATTTAGACAACACATGACAATTTGTAACTATTATACGATTTAGCAAACGAATGCCAAATTCTCTAAAATCACGAAATCTCAATTGTACTTTTGTTTTTACAACAGTCTCACTGAGGATTAGGTTTAGGGATGCGGTTTTACTATTTTTATTACAAATAATATATTTTCGACTGTTTTGGAAAACTGTTAATAAATTCATAGAAATTTGTACAATCTCATTTGTACATTTTCTATGACCTGTTCATGCCCAGTGAGGGTTAGGTTTAGGGTGCAGGTTCACACTTTTTATTAAAAATGTGACGTTTTAGCAAACTGGTTGCGAATTCTTATCTCATTTGTACATTTTTGATTGACTTGGTCACGCCCCACTGAGGATTTTGTTTTGGGGTTCAGGTTCATACTTTTTAAATAAAAAAGTGTATGTTTTCGTACATACTGGCAAGTTGGTGGCAAATTCATGTGAAATTCTACAACCTCATTCGTACGTTTTTTGTTTGACCTGCTCACGTCCCACTGAGGGTTAAGTTTAGAGGTGCAGTTTCACTATTTTTATTACAAATCATATTTTTTTTGATTACCACAGATGTGTCCCAGCTCTGAGAGTTAGTGCACCCTCAGTGCTGGTGAATTTATACAAAATTGTGACTATATAAAAAACACAAACAAACTTGTACCGAGTTGGTTGATAGCATTCATTGCATTGATTATATGAGTTCCTGTGGCAGGGTTAGCATAAGGAGCCACAGAAGCCTTAAAGCAAGACTGATGATTGTTGATCTATCTCTACAGTATACTTTTGTCCCCCATACACTGTACCAGCGGTCCCCGGTCCCCCACTGCAGTACTGATGATGAGGACCCTGGGGGACGCAGTCCACCCTTTGAGGTGTCCGAGGGTGAGGACGACAACAACAGACATCCAGGCATCTCCAGCACTCTATCAGGTGAGCTACAAACAAAAATGTCTTGAGTCCGAGACAATATTTTCATGGTCTTGGTCTTGTCGTGGACTCAACCTATGTAGGTTTCGGCTTGGACTTGGTCCCCAAATGAGCTGGTCTCGATCACACTGTAGCGTAGCTACTACAATAGCACTCTTATTATTTCTGTAGAATGAATTAAAGTAAGCACATTACCAAAAATATTAGTCCCAAGTTTCTACTTTTAAACCATCCAGATCATCTGGCCCCATTATAAGGTAATCAGCAACAGTTCACTAATGCTATCTACAGATATTGGTTATGCTTTATTTTTGGTTGCACTCCCATTAGAGAGTAGACTGTTAGGTTAGGGTTAGTAGGATAAGTTGACATGTACTTGCAAAGTTACTTATACTCAATAGTATGTCTGTTGAGGACCATCAGAATGAAGTGTTAGCAGAGAGTCTACTAATACTCTAATGACTGCTAGTTGACATGTAGTTGCAAAATTACCTAGTCAATAGACATATAAGGAATCATATTTGGTATCAAAAGTGACGAGCCATCCAGATTTTAAACTGAACTTGAACTTCTACAGGAAACAAACGGAAAGTGCGTCTCTATCAGTTCCTCCTGGACCTCCTGCAGGACGGAGACATGCGGGACTGCATCTGGTGGGTGGACCGAGAGCGAGGCATCTTTCAGTTCTCCTCCAAACACAAGGAGACACTCGCCAGCCGCTGGGGCCAGCAGAAGGGCAACCGCAAGAGAATGACCTACCAGAAGATGGCCAGGGCCCTGCGCAACTATGGCAAGACCGGCGAGGTCAAAAAGGTTAAGAAGAAGCTCACGTACCAGTTCAGTAGCGAGGTGCTGAGGAGGACAACTACGGATAGGAGGCAGTATCATCACTGAAACTCTGGACACAAAACATTTCCTTTAGATCCAGTGTCTCTTACCCAAAATATTCTCAGATTCTCTCCTCTGCCATTGTTCTGCAGCAAAACATGTAATCTCAGGGATATGTAATATGTATTGGCAATATAGGGATATAAAATATTTGAGTAGCTGACAAATGGACATGGACAATAGACATTTTTAAGGTCAACGTGTATGTATTTTTAAAAGAGTACATGCTTTCATGTTTTGATGCTGTAACTGGTTTGTTTTTTCCCCCCACTTTTAAATCGTCTTGATTTCACTATTGTTACATTTCAATTGTCCAGTGGTGTGACAAATGAATTTCAAAAGGTGTAATATTTCATGTAGTCTCTTAGTTAATATGGTTATGAAAACTGCATGCACAATAATAATACAATTTTAATAATATAATTCTAATAATAATGTTACACTTATAATAACAACATGTTACACTTCAGGACGTTTAAATGCATTCAGCTATTTTGACACATTTTGACTTCCATATGCTTCATCCACACAAATTAGCAAAGCTTTAACTTATTTTATGCTTAGTAATGCTAAAAATCTGTCTTTATATTATGCAGAGGCATCACATCTCTGAATAAATGAACCTGGAAGTCCTTCTTGAAACTTATTTACTTCCTGTTGGGTTCCTATAGCAACAAAGATCCTTAAGAGATTCAAGACTTAAAAAATTGATTTTTTGAGTCACAACCACTGATCTATCTATCTATCTATATATCTATATATATAGATAGATAGATCAGTGGACACAATATATAATTCACAAGGAGCATTTTTGAAAAAAAAAAAAAGAGTAGTATTGCTCTATCTATCTATCTATCTATATATATAGATAGATAGATAGATAGATCAGTGGACACAATATATAATTCACAAGGAGCATTTTTGAAAAAAAAAATGAGTAGTATTGCTATCTACTCTGCTCATTTAGTCTTTTCTGGATTTCAGTTTGTGATATAAACAGCCAAAAATTAAAACACAATTTAAATAGATAATTTTATGTATTTTATCACATTTTTTTTTCATTTAGCAAGGATGCATGAAATTGATCAAAAGTGACAGTAAAGACAGGTATATAATACTTATAATATTACAAGCAGTAATAATGTTTCACATTATTGTATTACTGTATTCTTGATCAATTACAAGCAGCCTTGGTGAGCATCAGACAAAAACACAAACAAACAAATCTTACTAACCCCAAACTTTTGAGCTGTAGTCCAATGACAGTCATTCAAAAAGTTATATATGAACAAGAACTTTTTTCTTAGTTTTATGTTTTAGTATTATATATAGTATTATAGCCATCCTTTTGGTAGTTGTTAGAAAAACAGTTCATGAAGTGAAAGGTGGGAAAGATTTGGGCCAACAACAATTCTGGTAGCATTATTTGTCTGTTTACTTATTAATTACATACTTCATATTAATTAGACAAGTACAGCATGGGGCAAGCATGCAAACTGGTTAATAACTACTATAATTCAGATGCAGTTTTACCACAACTCTGATAAACCACATTTCTGTTTTTGTTTATGCAAGTCAAGTTTTCCTATTCGGTCTGTCTCATTGTAATAATTTGCCATATTGTTAGGATTATAAAGTTAATGGTGATTCTAATATATTTATATTATGAATTATATTTTGAATTACTTTATAAATAAAATATCTGGCAGACCATGATATGAATTGGCAATCCATAAAGTTACATTTCTAGTAATTACAAGAATTGATGTCTAATCTAAAGAAGTTGCTCTATGCTGCCACCCAGGGGACCATGAACACACCCCACATACAACAACAAATGATTCACAGAACTTGATTTCATTGCTCTTTAGGGCTTTCCCAAAGTTATTTTCCTCAGAATTCGGTTTCTGTTTTTAATGGGGAAATAATTTGTGGGCAGGAAAATCAATAGAGAGCAAAAGAGAAATCTGTAAATGATAGCACTGTCTTTGATTTGGGTAAGTAGAGTTAAATAGAAACCCGAAATGGGATTTGAGTACACAATATAAAGGACAAAGCTGCTAAAACAACAGGAAGTAAAAATCATAGTTAGACTGCGTAGCAAATGTGTGCAACTTTTGTCAAATTTATTATTATCACATTGTTTTTGTTAACAGCTGTCTCAAAAGAGTAAATCCTAAAAACTAGATGCACGTAACAGGCTTGTGCTATAGAATTGAACGTCATGGTTAAAACAGAGGCATAAGAAAATATTCCACATGTCTGGTATCAGTGTGTCCTGCGGAAACAAGACATATGTCATAGGTGTATTATGCACCAGAAATACTCAAATTCAACATTTAGAAATTTCACATAATCTGTATACTTCCCTTATAATAATCACACACCGAAAAAAAAGCAATAAATCACCCACTAACGTCTTTATAAGTATAGAACAATTGTCTTTAGACAGATAGAAATATCATCAATCGCCAGAGATTGAAAATAAGATAGACCTCCACTATGTTAGTGTATGTTTTTTAAATAACACTTTTCATATCTCTCTGCTTTAGGTTATTAAATCCACCATGTAATACATATTCCAACTGTTGTTCATTGTGCTGTCATTTAAAAATCAACAAACACTGCTCTCTCTTTAGGTTCAGCTGGAAGGACTCCATAGTGATGGCATTTTGCTGTCTTGAGCAATAATGACATGATGTGCAAGCAACAGCTTCACGTTCAGTTGTTGGCGGCATCAGCATGTCTGGGCCAGTTGTCTTCCTCAGAGGCGGAGTCAAACTCTTCCTCTGTTTCTTTGGGAGGAGCTCTGGATCACAAACACACAAAAAAAAATCTAAGTTTATTTTGCACATTCTTAGTTGGGGCTCTAGACTCAAAAACTGACTAGGGAGCTGCTGAGTCCTAAAATGAAACAAGAAGTCAAATGACTTTTTGAGTTGCCAACATTACAGGTTGATATGGATCTACTCATTTGATCTACTGAAGCGGCTGATTTAAAAAAAATAAATAAAAATCTGAAAGGATTGGACTGATTCATTAAAAAGGACTAGCTCCTAGGGGTGTGCGATATTGACAAAAAATAATATCTCGATAATTTCTGGGATTTTATCGATACCGATAATTAGACGATATTTTGCTGAGTGTGTTATTGTGCTGGTACCTTAAGGACTGCCGAAGACAGCTGACTCCTAATGTTTTTAATATTCTTCATATTCTGTGTGGTGGTCAGTTCATACTGAAAGAAATTAATCTTTTCTAATAAGTTTAAACTAATTTTTACATTTTATGGGCATTTTTACCTTTATAAAGCCATTTTTTTTCTAAAAGTGTCAGGGAATTAGAATAGTAAGACATTTAGGCTGTTACCAAGCAAATGAAATCAACACAGAAGCTGCAGCTGAAGTGGCATTTAGATGTATTTTGTTTAATGCAAGACATGAATGCATTTAACCTGCAATTACAAATGCATAAATAATGTTTTGATATATTAAACATAAAACGTTGAATACCGATATTTGAAATGATTTAAAACATGAAAAAAAAAAATAAAAAATTGAATGTCACATTTGTAATCATGGTAATTTTTGGAGAAAAACGGCACTCTTCGTGTGAAATTGAATAACTATATGAAGTGGTATAAATATATTAATTTTCTGCCATCATGTCTTGAATTTGTGATCACTCTAAATGCATTTTAATAGACTGAATCATGCAGTGAAAGAGAACACACTAAATGCGCACACGCACTAGTCTAGACTTCGCGTAATGTATGCGTGCGCTCTGTAGGGATGTTTTGAATGGTTTTTGCAAAATACTCGATAATGTCAAATCGCACATCGTTAAAACAACAATTACGATATTATCGCAGAGGATATATATTGCACACCCCTACCAGCTCCAAATCAAACTTTATATAAAAAAACAACAAACAAAAAATAAAAGATTGCTACCAACTACATTAGTTCAAAGCCTTAATTTTGTTTCTTCAGCTTTATGACTTAATGAAAAACTGTCAAAACCTGTACCTAATGTAACGTGGTCCACATTTGCCCTGGATCACCTCCTTTGTCAGTTCCACAGCAATGATGTCAGATTGAGGCACCTCAAACATGGGCTCCAGCAAGAGCGTCTCCTGAAAGACCAGAGATGACACATTTCAGAGATGTACCTGAAGGATTTACAGCAGAGATGTCCAGTCCTGCTTCTGGAGTAGGGCTGCACGATAAATCGCATGCGATATTTAACGCGCATCTTATCAGTAGAGCCGGTTCTGTAATCAGCGGTAAATCTCCATCACCTGCGGGCTTTCACATTGAGCAGCATTAACTGCACAGAGCCGTTGTTCACAGGCAAGCTGCGCAAAACCACGTTCATATTCGCGCGATTTTTTGCGCAGCTCGTCAGTGAACAACGGCTCTGTGTAGTTAATGCTGCTCAATGTGAAAGCCCGCAGGTGATGGAGATCCGCAGCTGATTACAGAACCGGCTTTCTGACAAGATGCGCATTAAATATCGCATGCGATTTATCGTGCAGCCCTATTCTGGAGTGACAGTATTTTGGAGTGTTTAACTCCAACCCCATTTAAACAAAACACCTCAAGCAGCTACTCAAGGCCTTCCAGACATGAGTGTTGTGGTAAACTGCAGCTAAACTCCATAGGACTTTGGACCTCAAGAAGAAGTATCAGACATCCTTGCCGCATTTACATTACATGGTTCAAGTAACCTAATTCCGATTTATTCCTCACATGTGGCACAGATCGAATATGACCAAAGAACAGGAAAAAGTGCATCGATTTTGATATGTGGAAATAAATCTGATATCAATCGGATACATGCATTTGCGTCTGCCATATGAGGACAGATCGGATATTCCTGTCAACACAAGTCATATGTCATTGAAAAAGCCATGCTAGCAAATTATGTTGACTCAGGTGGATGATTTTCCAGGTTAGTACCAGCAGTTTTGCCAAGTCTGTGGCATTCCTGCAGAATTGGGCTTATTTTAAAAAGTGAGTGAAGTGACGTGTGGCCAAGTATGGTGACCCATACAATTACGAGGCTCTGTAAGGATCTGCACCAGCATCTCTTCATCCAGACTGTGCAGTGGCACCACCACAGGCAGACGGCCCACAAACTCTGGGATCATGCCGAACTCGATGAGGTCCTGTGCTTCAACAAGCCGCAGGAGCCGGTCCTTTTCCTCAATCTCTGCCATTGCGTCCACATCATTTCCTGAGCTGTTGGCCAGATCTGCAGCTGCTGCAGCTCGACGCCCTTTGCCCAGGTTAGAAGGAGTCCCAAAACCAAGATACTGCAGGGGACATCAAGAAAGTGTAATATACTGATAGTCAGATAAATTTTGAAGAACCAATAAATAATTATACTGTAGAAAAATCACCTTTTCATTTTTCCTATGGCTGATGATCCTGTCCAGCCCATTGAAAGCACCTGATGCCACAAACAAAATGTTGGTTGTATCCACTTGTACTGTCTCTCCTCTCAACTTTCTGCTGTTCTTCTCTAGAACATTAACAATTGTTCCCTCAAGCAATTTCAGCAAACCCTGCACAGACAAATAGGAATATTAACATCCAAAGAAATTACACAATGCAAAAAGGTTCAATTCTGCTGGAGCTTTCTGTTCTGCAGTGAATTACCACATTATTCTGTTTATCCTACTACTCGTTACTAGTTTGGGTCCTACTTCACA